AGCATTGCTCGATTCATGTTCTGAACTAAATTTTATTTCTGAGGAAACCGCTAAGAGGCTGAAACTAAAATTTAGACCGTTTTCTCAAGAAATCTCTGGAATTGGAGAAGTTCGAACAGCAATAAAGTTTTCTGTAGAAACTACAATAAAATCGAGAAGTAGCTCATTTGAATGGTCCTCATGTTTTGCTGTTACCAAAAGTATTTCGTCTCGTCAACCTGGTGAATTGATGAACACATCACAATGGAAGATTCCCCAACACATAGAATTAGCAGATCCGCTTTTCTACAAGCCACAACGTATCGATGTGCTTCTAAGTGCCGAAGTATTTTTTGATTTGCTGCTAGATGGTAGAATTTCATTGGGAAATGGATTGCCGTGTCTCACGAATACAGTTTTTGGTTGGATAGTTGGAGGTTCGTCGCCCAGTCGTCCAAACTCAACTTCATTAACATGTAACTTAACCGTAAGTACACATGAAGAAAAAATTGATGAAATATTGAAACGTTTTTGGGAAGTTGAGGAGTATTCCAAGTCACCCAACCCATATACAGAAGAAGAACAAGCATGTGAAGATCATTTTGTCAAAAATAGTGGTTTTGACTCTGAGGGAAGAGTACAAGTTCGACTTCCATTTAAGAAATCTCCTAAATGTCTTGGTAACTCATTTGAAATGGCTCGTAGACGTTTTTTATCGCTGGAAAGACGACTTGAACGTGACTCTACTTTGAAATCGATGTATGTAGAATTTATGGAAGAATATGTGTCTCTTGGCCATATGTCACCCTACACCCAATCGTTGAATGATTCGCACTATATTATACCTCATCATTGTGTTCTCAAGCCCCAAAGTGCTACTACAAAAATTCGTGTCGTATTTGATGCATCAGCTCGTAGCTCGTCGAATCATTCCTTGAATGATATATTGATGGTCGGTCCAACAATTCAGCAGGATCTGATCACCACACTTTTCTCGTTTCGATTGCACAAATACGCTCTCACTGCAGATATTTCAAAAATGTATCGGCAGTTTCGCATAGATGAAAGAGATAGAAGATATCAACTCGTATTGTGGAGAAGTAACAAAAATGATGAACTCAAGGTATTCAAATTGAACACAGTAACTTATGGCTTATCGGCCGCCCCATTTTTGGCAATTCGTAGTTTGTTTCTCATTGCAGATAAATACAAAGATTCTTATCCCCATGGTTCGGAGGTCTTACGACAAGATCTTTACGTCGATGACGTACTTACAGGCGCCGATAGCATTGAGACTCTGGCTCTTAAAAGAGACGAGTTGATCCAAATATTGAAATGGCATGGTATAGAATTGGCAAAGTGGAATAGCAACCATGCGTCGCTCACTTCGAATGATGTTGAAGAAATCATCATAAAAACATCGGATAACGACATAACTAAAACATTAGGTATGTCCTGGAAACCTCAGCAAGATGTTTTCCTTTATAGATTCGAGTTGCCCGATGTCACAAATCCAACTAAAAGATCAATTTTGTCGATCGTATCCAAAATCTACGATTTGCTTGGAATTTTGAGCCCAATCGTTATTCGTTGCAAAATTCTTCTTCAAGAATTATGGGTTCAAAATATTGGATGGGATGATCCTCTAAACGATCATCTCAAGGCTTTGTGGCTCCAAATCAAAGAAGATTTATCGTACATCCATCAAGTAGAAGTCCCAAGATATGTACTTACGTTGTCCAATCGACATGGCGAAATACATGGTTTCGCAGATGCTTCTCAACGTGCATATGGTTGTTGTATTTATTATCGTGTCTCAGAAAATGGTATGTACAAAACCACATTACTGATTGCCAAATCGAAAGTAGCTCCTATCAAAGCCCAATCTCTACCTCGTCTCGAATTGTGTGCTGCAGTGTTACTCAGTAAAACGTGGCTCAAAATCAAGTCTAAAATTGAAAATTTCGTCTCATCGTTGTACTTTTGGACAGATTCGAAAATAGTACTCCAATGGCTCAAAATGCATTCGTCAACTTTGAATTGTTTCGTGGCAAATCGTGTCTCTGAACTTCAAGAAGAAACTCGAAACATCATTTGGAGACATGTCCCAACGAAAAGTAACCCAGCTGATATCGTATCTCGTGGTTGTTGTGCTCAAGAATTGTCGAATACCATCTGGTTTCGTGGCCCATCGTTTCTAGAAGAAGATGTCTCAAATTGGCCAGGAGCTGAAGACGAGATGACAATTGAAGTCCCAGAACGCAGAAAAGCCGCCGTCTTTAAAAACACAGCCTGTGAAAACAATGTCATTAATGACATTCTGGATAAGCAATCTTCATATTATAAATTTATTCGAATAATTGCTTATGTTTTTCGTATTTTCAACAGGTGTCCCATAAGTCGTTCTTTGAAGGTCAAAGATGTTGTCCACATAGCTCCTAAGGAACTTGAAGACACCTTTTGGAAGGTCATCTCACTGGTCCAGCGGTCATGTTACTCATCGGACATACAAGCAATTAAAAGTGGAACCGTCGCTCATCCATCTCTGCAAAAATTAACCCCATTTTTGCACAAAATGAAAGTGGGAAATGAAGAGATCAATGTTCTTCGAGTTGGCGGACGTTTAACAAATGCTCCGATTCCGTATGATGCAAGATTTCCTGCCTTGTTGCCCAAAGACCATCGATTCGTCATTTTGTTTGTCGAGCATTTGCACCGAATTCATTTGCACGCCGGTCCAAAGGTGTTGTTGAGCATTTTACGCCAGAAGATATGGATAATCAATGCCAGAGAAGTAGTTCGAAAGATTGTTCGAAATTGCGTGCATTGTTTTCACTACAAGCCAAAATTGTTGGGGCAAATAATGGGAAATTTGCCAGTTGATCGTCTTAGAGCTCAACGTCCATTCTTGGTAACTGGAGTTGACTTTTGTGGCCCTTTCATGACGTCATACAGAATTCGAGGGAAGTCACCCTACAAAACCTACATCGCAGTTTTCGTTTGCTTCAGTTCCAAAGCTACCCATTTGGAACTCGTATCGGATTTGTCAGCAAACAACTTTATATTGTGTCTCAAACGATTCGTGGGAAGACGTGGAATTCCCCAGAAACTCTTTTGTGACAACGCAACTAATTTCGTAGGAGCTTGTAACAAACTGAAAGAGCTCAAGGAATCATTTTTTAATGATGAAGTTGTCCAAAAAATGAAATCGATTTGCTGTCAAATGGGTCTTGAATTCAATTTCATACCCCCACGCGCCCCACACTTCGGTGGATTGTGGGAGGCAGCGGTAAAATCCACAAAAACGTTGCTCAACAAGAACATAACAGAGTCGTATCTTACATTTGAAGAGTTGCAGACCCTGGTAGTCGAAGTAGAAGCAATATTGAACTCTCGTCCAATTGCTCCCATGTCAGACGATCCCAACGACGGGGAGGCGTTGACACCAGGTCATCTCCTTATTGGTTCATCTTTGGTGGCAATACCTGAACAACAACTTGATGTTACCAAACCATCGTTGCTAAATAGATGGCAACGTATTTCGTACCTGAAACAACAGTTTTGGCAAATGTGGTCCAGGGATTACCTTCTGTCTCTCCAGCAACGGTCAAAGTGGTTCACCGATGAGAAGAATGTCAATGAAGGACAATTGGTCATCATACACGAGGACAACACACCCCCTCAGCAGTGGCTCTTGGCTAGAATTACGAAAACAATACCCGGTCGTGATGGAAAGGTCCGAGTGGTCGAGTTGAAAACTAAAAATGGAATATCGTGTCGCCCAATCCATAAAATAGCCCCTTTACCAAGCCCAGAAGATGTTTGAAATTTTGGCATTTCAACGGGGGGAGGATGTTGGAGGAGATTATTTTATATATTTTTATGTTTTATTATTTTTATTATTTTAAATTTTAATTCATTTATTATAATTTCATATTTTGTTCGGCCCACCTTAATGTTTTTTGTTAATTTTAATAATCGGCCCACTCTAATGTGTTTTGCGTTCCCTTTTGTGTCGCCCTTTTTTGTCGTTCGTCTTGTTAGGAAAGCAACAACAACAATATTCAAATATTGTTTGAATATTTGCTTGTTACTGCTTTCCTATTTCTTCGTCGTAACAAAACAACAACAATGCAGTGATCAGTCGTTGACTGCATTGTTGACAGTTTTATATGTATGTATGTAACATACTTATTAATAACTGTCGTTTGTTTTGTTTTGATCGTTTATTACTTTTATGTTTCGATTTCGTTTTGTTCCATTTGTTTTGTATGTGGCCCTACAAGAAGGGAATGTAATTATGAGTTAGTTGACTTTTAACCGGCATACGGAGCAACAAATAAAATTGTGAAAATTAGTTTTAAACTAAAAATACCAAACGCGTTTTCTTTGCGGGAAAAACAAATTAAAAACCTTTCTGCGCAACAGGTGGGTCTAGGACCAATATTTCGCTGCGTTACAAACTTTTGGGGCTGCACAAAACTATAATGCCCTGACTACATAGTTGTGTAGGGTATAAAAAGTATGTGTTGCATCAATGTTGCTGTTTTGTTGGTGTCTTCGACTAGAGTAGTCATTATGCAGTCGGCAACATAAGGCAGTTATACACAATGGCGTAGCTAGCTTACGTTTCATGGGGGGTTGACTTTTTTAATATGGATAATGTATATTTTTATCAACGCTACAGAAGTTTATTTTCAAAATAAATGATTTCTTTGTCTATACAACCCTATCTAAGCCCCTGCCTCTTTATCCTCATATTGGAGTCTGGCCAATTATTTAGGAATTTTTTAAGTTGCAGTTTTTTGGTGTATGATTCCACTTTTTTGCTGTTGTTGTTTTCTCGCTAGTTTGGAAATTTTGCCACGAATTACTTGCATAAAAATATTTATATTTTTTTCATGCTAATCAATTTCAGTTTAACTTAAAAATTCAACAATTCATTGTAAATTGTTGTAAGTACTGTTCACCGTGCGTAGGTGGTTAGTTAGCTTTAGGGAGATTTTCATAACACTAGCTCAAATATAAAAATAAATATGAATAAAGTTATGCCTGTCTGAATGAGGAGCGATGAGAATGAGAACGAACGTGATGCGTTATTATTAAAAACGTTTTATATGCATGAGAAATGTGTGTTTAGTGAAGTTTTGTGAAGAGGCAGTTTTGTGGCGGTTTTATGAATTATGTTTTTCATACACGTTGCAATAAAACCTATTTGCGTTTTAAATGTTATATGATTGTAGATAATTGCATTGATGTCTAGATTGTTATGTAAATTATGGCTAAAAATATTCAAAAGCTTTACATAAGGTAGTTCATCTATAAGGGATCTTTATAAATTACACTAGGCATCAAGATTTTGGAAGTTGGGAAATTGCTTGTGGGGATTAAAGCCCTTGCCGGAAAGGGAAAATTCGTTAAATACCGAAAATTCGGTGGGAACATGCTGATCAAGACCTAAAGATATATGAAAATGGGGCGGGATCTTTATCAAAATCAAAACTTTTGTTGTACCCTCCAATATCCATTCAATGCTCCGAAAATAGTTCGCTACCGTTATATGTGAATTATATCAAAACATAAACCATATTCGGCAATGTTGTCCTCCACTTGATCTTTCCATCTTATTCGTGGCCTTCCCCTTCTGCGTGCACCATCAGCTGGTTCGCTTTTATATGCCTTTTGGGATGGGGCAACTTCGTCCATTCTCACAACATGACGTAGCCAACGTAGTCGCTGCCGCTCGATACGTCCGACAATGCCAATGTCCGAGAATAGATGGTACAATTCATGGTTCATTCGATGGCGATATTCACCGTCAACGCAGATCAGTCCACAGATCTTTCGGAGAAATGTTCTCTCAAATACTCATCTGCTTGCGCAAGTACCCATACTTCAGATCCACATAACAGCACGGGTAGTATCAGCGTCTTGTAGAGTGTGAGTTCGGTCTGGCGGGAAGTGGCATTGTTTCTAACCTGCTTACATAGACTATAGTAGCATATGTTGGCCAACACTATCCTTCTCCGAATATCAAAACTGATGTCATTTGATTTAATTATGGCGGTACCAAGGTATATACAATTTTGACTACCTTGAAGTTGTAGTTCTCAAGTTCCACAGTTGGTCCGAGTGTACTGGACGTTTTGCGCGTTGATACCATCAGCTTTGTTTTCTCGCCGTTTACTGCCAGATCCACTTTGGCAGACTCTTTCTCAATTTGTTCAAAGGTGGCTGTTACCTCTCGCAATGTTCGACCCATTATGTCGATGTCATCGGCGTAGACGAGTAACATGTGTTGTTTGGTGTTCAGAGTGTCATTTCTGTTCACCTTTGCCTCTCGTATGACCTTTTGCAGCAGGATGTCAAAAAGATCACACGACAAATTGTCATCTTGTCTGAATCCTTGTTCGGTATTAAAGAGCTCCGAGAGGTCCTTTCCGACCTTAACTGCTGATCTTATGCCAGTTAAAGTTATCCTGCAAAATTAATTCGCAGGATTCTGTACGGATAGGGCTGTCGAATGCGGCTTTATAGTCGACGAATAGGTGGAATGTGTCGATGTGTTTTTCGTGGGTTTTTTTCAGGATGTGGCACAGAGTGAAAATCTGGTCAATGGTGGATTTGACAGGTCTGAAGCCGTATTTGTGTGGTCCAATAATGACATTGACCATTGGCTTTAGTCGTTCACACAGCACGCTGGATAGCACTTTATATGCGATGGGAAGGAACAAGACATATCGTATTGTCTCCTTTTTGTGCACGGGACACAGGATGTTAAATGTCCAATCATTGGGCATCCAGATTGTACTAATCAGATGGTGCATGCTCCTTACCAACATCTGACACCAGTCTTGAATAGTTCGGCTTGTAACCCATAGGATACCAGAAGTTTTTCGAAGGCAACCCTATCTGGATTGCCCTATACGCTGCGTTTTTCACATCGATAGCATTACGACACTCTTGATCGTACCATGGGTTTCTTGATGGTGGTTTTTGGTACCCAAGTGTTATTTTTGCTGCAGTTTGTAGGGAGTAAGCAATTCTTTGCAATTGTGCTTCTATACTAGTATCAGGGCAAGAAGTGATTTCGTCAAGCAGTTGGGTAAGTTGAGCGGAGTTGGCTTCTGCTATCTGTTGTGTTTGCAGCTTTTCGACGTCAAGTTTCCGTGTTGTGTTAGATCGCATCTTTGCTGCAACATTAAGACGAGTGCGAACCTTAGCTGCTACAAGGTAGTGGTCCGAATCGATATTCGCTCCTCGGATCGATCGAACGTCTAATATAGTGGATGAATGCCTTCCGCCTATCACAACATGATCAATTTGATTTCTCGTTGCTTGATCAGGAGAAATCCAGGTGGCCTTGTATATATCGAGATGCTTGAACCCATATTATTAATGTTTGTTGAAAAAATATCAAATTGGAGTCAATTCGGTTGGAAAATGTGCTCAAATGTCGAATGGAAGGAGGTTGCATTGTATAGAGTCTACCCTAAAATGGACCAATTACAGCCATATTGAATAAAAAATGTGTTCAAAAGCGTTAACATACTGGGGGGTTCCGTTATAAAGATTGTACCCTGACACTTTGGCCAATTATATCGAATAATGGGGGCTAAGGTTTTCCTCGAAACTTGAGTCAAACTGGATAATTTTTTTGTAGAGAGATTTTTACCCTTTACGAATTCAAAATTACAGCTAATTTGGTTAGAAAACGTTACCAAACCCCCCAAAATACTGAACTTTGAGAGATACTATTGTTGACGTCCGCACGGCCATCAAGCAGTACGTGGGTACCACACTATTGACATCGATGACAACCTCATCGATTTGGAGCTGTAAGTCATCGGTGTCCTCCCATCACCATAAAGGACCAAAAATCGGGATCCTCCCATCTCCAACCACTTCTTGATCAAGTAGTGAACCCAAAAGATCGTCCTGATCTAAGATTTATAAAAACCCCCAATCAACTCAATAAAGATACTGTCGCCTGGCAGGTCTGATTAAAGAAAAGTAAAAATTTAATTCTTTTAATTGTACCTATACATCACGTGAGTATAACACGTATACTTGTGGTGTTGTGTATATTTATATGTGTTGTAGTTGTTACTTTTGCCGGCAACTCCACATTCAAAGGCTCTAAACTCGTCTGAATTTAGACTTCACAACAGATTCTACGATCCTATATATGGTCTATACCGAAAAATGAACCGATATTTCTCATTTTCAATATCCAATATGAACGATGTCAATGCTCTATCTTAAATATTTGGAGCGATATCGTCAGCACACATACAGACTGAGGGGGTCCCCGGAGAAAATTACGAAATTTTGCAAATGGAGGGACAAATATAAACCCCACCTTATGGTGGAGGGTACAAAGACCTACACTCTACGGGTGCTATAAAAAATATTCTTAAAAAATGTCCTATATGGCTGAAAAGAAATGTCTGCCGTCTCTTTTAAAATCCTGAAATACGTGCCAAACAAATTGCACCGAATTTCTGCCCTACACATATCAGACATTTCATACCAAGCTAATTTATCGTAAGAACAAAATTCTTGGCCAAATAATTGTAACGAATTTTTAAAGTTTGGCGCTTTTTTCACTACAAACCTCAGAACAGACTGGACATAAAAACTAAGATTCTTAAAAAAGGAAAAAAAACACATAAATCAGTTCAATGGCAGGCCAAAAGGTACAAATTGAGGCCTATAACGTTTATAAAGAAAAAAATCCACAACAACAACAAATAACGTAACAAACAATACAACAGAAATTAAACAATGCCTATACAAGAAGCTTGCACACAGACACATTGCTAC